TGTTTCAGGGTTCGATCTGTGAGTTAGCCGTGCCCTGACTTAGATCAGTCCAGAGGTTCATTCAGGATATTGAATTGTTTACCTTTTAGTCCTTGATTTAACACTTGAACGGGTCCTAACGTCACGCTATGAATAGTTGATCGGCGAGACATCTCTACATCTCTTGCACCTCTTGAGTTTGGTATACAACCCTTACGACAGCGTGACTCTTGATCATCTTTATGACAAACCATCACGCGACAGTGAAGGTAAATAACTGACTGTGAAGTGTTTCGAAACTTGAAAGGTAACATTTGGAATCGTTGTTCAACACCAGGGATTGGTTTAAACTTGACAGTGCTATCAAGGGGACAACTATAGACGTAAAATTAGATGAGCTCAGTACTGGTTAGGCATTTGACAAACTCGATCCTAAATGTTGGTCTTGACTTTGATATTTTTACTCACCCATTCTCTATAAACGAGTACTGTAATTGATCTTTAGAGTTGATGGAGGGAGTGGCAATGCACGTGTAGGCCAGTGCCTCGAGATTTTTATCGGAAGAAAGTAATGTTGTTTTTGCAAACAAATTTTTGGTGACAGGGACATTGACTGGATACTCGGACACGTCATATGGAACTTTGAACTGAGACGACTTGTAGAGATTCATCTCAAACGAGAAATTACCAAAACCCTCTAAAAGACAAGACCAGAACACATGTATGGTTAACTCTGCATGTAGCGTGTATGTATAGGATAGAAGGTTGCCTTAGCGGTACTCGCCTCTAACCTCTGGGGTCTCAGGTACGATTCCTGGACCCGGTATCACATGTGAGTAGAGTATGTTTTTTGATCCAAGGGGTTTTTTCCAGGTTCTCCGGTTTTCCTCCCATCAAATTTCAATTTGATCTGTGCGCTAGCACTGAGTGCCCTGACGTAGATCAGACCAGAGGCTGTTTTAGTATATCGATAAAAATGAAAAAATGTCTTTTCTTTTTCTCTGACATTCAATCAGCCCACCTTCAACAACTGATACTTTTTTTCTCGGCTGAAAGCTTGGTGTTCCTATTGTCCTCATCTTGATAAAGGTACAACTGAACGGAAATTCCACAATATGCATCTTTGATGGTGTCTTAGCAACGCGAGCTGTCACGCTATTGTAGTACGTTACAGACAAATTGCGATGCTGATTGGTTGTCCCACAACCGTCAAGTCTTGTTCGTAGTATGACGTGACTGTCTGTTTTCTTGTACGGTTGACAAGAGGGATCCCTCAAGCGAAAAGAGTCACGATCGATGTTGGGGAAGTTATTGATGGTCAAATCAACTTGAATGACGAGTGAAGTACAGTTCACTTTGAAGTCGTAAACCAACTCTCCCTCTGGATCTTTGGGTTTTGTTGCTGGTAATAATAACATGAATAAAGAAAGAGAGATAAGTACAAATGCTCGTTTTTATATTATATGTAATTATCTTCAAAAAGCCTTTCTGAGGAAAGATAATAAAGGATGTATGTGTGTGTGTGTGTGTGTATGCTTAGTGGCGATAGAGTAAAAAGCAATTTTCGTATGACTGTGAAAAGCTCACGGCACGAACACGGTCGTGATACGGCAAGGCATATCCCAGACCAATGACATTCCAGACCTCTCCATCTAATCAAATGCCCGAATCACACACGGTTGCCGCCAAGGTCAACCACACTGCCAGACCAATCACATTGCGCGAGAAAAAAATCAGTCAGTCAAAATTCTAGAAATCAACACGTATACGGCACCGAGCTTTTCCCAGTCACAAGAAAACTGCTATTAAGTCAATAGGAAGGTGTCCTGCTTACTTGGTGGTTTATCGGTGACAGCACTTTCAGTAACCAGAAATTCTTTCTCACCAGCATCACTTTGTCCCATCCTATTCACTCCTACAACACGGAATTGATACTTGTTTCCCCTTTGGAGTCCCGTTACATTATACTGCTTTCCCGTGATGTTCTTTACCGTCACCCAGTAAACGTACTTGCCGTCATCATCTTGTTTGCTGTACTCTATGACGTATGTAACGTTTGGGTCCCCACCGTTGTCATGGGGACCTGTCCAGGTTAACGTGAAACGTGTCGAGTTAAGTCTTGTCTGATGATTGGTTATACTGACACCACGTGGAGGACCTTAAAGTAAACGAGTGAGAATGGTTAGATATCACATGATTAATAGCGTAGGATCTAGGGGGTGGGGGTCCTCTTTGCATGTGAGATCTCGTGAAGCCAATCATGTTTAGGCTCAGTAGAATAAATTGAACCCTCCTCTTGTGAAGCCGATCGCGCCAGCATTTTCTGATTGGCGCCAATTTACCCCCCTCCCCCCCCCCCTCTTAAAATCTTGGACCCGCCACTGGTGATCGTTACCATAACAACACTCACAGATATCAGAGTAGACGTGTTCTGTATACCAAGTTCCTTCTTTCGCCTTGTTTCTTCCTCGTACTCGCACGGTATACCGAGTATTAGGCTTGATGATTCCGCCATTAAATGTAAACCTTCTCTTGGTGCTTCCAGCTGATGCGTCGTCTACTCTCTTGCCATTGTGTATTAGCTCAAGGTCGTAAAGGATGATGGGAAGGCCGCCATCAAAGGACGGCGTGCTCCAGAGCACCGTGATGTAACCACAATAGGTAGAAAATGTAATATTAACAGGAGAGAGTGGTCCATCTAGATATTTAAATACTTCATATCAGTGATTGTTAGAAAATAACAGTTATGAATCTCGCTTTCTGATTGGTTAGTGGCAAATGCTTTATGCAAAAAGCCACAGAAAGGAACAAATCTTTCAAGTACATTCCTATAGTCATCATAGCCTGCATATGAAACAGTACGCTTACATTCAGGGCTTACATTAGTCATCGAGCAACCTTTCATTGCTCTCGCACAAATGCCTGAAAAATTATTAGTTTTTTTGAAATTAGAAGGATTCGTCATGTTTTTGGCACATTTTGCTTGCTTGCAAATCTATAAAATTATTACCTTTCATTTTTAAGCTATGCACATTTAATGAAGCCATTCCCCAATTAGGTAAACTATTGATTTTCAGAAAAAAGTCATGCAAATGTTTTTGTGTAGGGTCTATACAGCTGACTTTATATTTCGTCATTGGCATCAAGAATCGATCGGCTATGCGTTGTGTTTTTCCTAACACTTTTCTCGTGTTCTACCCCCGCGCGCGCTTTATAACTGTGCACAACACAAGCGCACGCGTTTTTTATTTCTTCATGTTTAAATCCAATTTCAAAAAAGAGTTACATACCAGCTTCTTTGACATAGATCTTGTGTCGTCTTGTACCCAGCTTATTCGATGCAAAACATATATATACACCGAAGTCTTGTTTATTTGTGGTTGATAAATAACCGTTAATTGTCCTACCACTGAGTGACACATCCCTGAGTAACGCTCGGTTCGGTTTAGTAAAATTCATATTTGGTATGGGGAATCCCCACCAGCTGCACGAGATAGGGACTTTAATTGGATTGCCTTGGTATGAATATACAACATTGGTGGACTTCTTTTTATTAAGGACTGGGGGACCTGGAAACAAATGAAATGGATGTTAGACAGACAGACAGACAGACAGACAAACAGACAGACAGACAGACAGACAGACAAACAGACAGACAGACAGACAGACAGACAGACAGACAGACAGACAGACACGGTTAACATACCATACACAATGACTTGAATGTGTTTTCGCTCTTCTCGAGCTGCGACCTTCTTTCCTTCAAACTGCAAAATCCGACATGTATAGTTGGAGGCGTCTTCCACTGTGACGTTCTTGATGTAAAGTGAACCGTTAGCAAGCTTCTCATATCGATCATCTGAGGTACGCCCTAGTTCTTGAGACTGCCAATTCTTGTACCAGCGGTTGGCTGGCTTGGGATAGCCAATTCCCTTACAGGGAATGATTGCACTTTGACCAACGTTCATTGTAAAAGAATTCGGAAACTCGACGACGTAGACTGGTACAGAAAATATGAACATTAGAATTGTACTGATAAGAGGTTATTACATGCAATACTACGACTTGCTATGTTTTATTTATGGTTGTTACTTCAGTAAAGCAAAAGCCAAAAGGGTTCTACAATGTCTCCTAGTCGAAGTTGGACTTAATAAAATACAGTAATGGAACACATCAAATCCAACTTCGACTTGGACCCATGGTTTCTTGGACACTGCTATTCTTCTGCTGGCATGCAACTAAAGCTAGAGGTTCATGGGACGATACCAGGGATCTTACACTGTATCGTTTCGACTTCTCTCCAACCCTTTTAGCTTTAAGGAACTACTTTACATATGACACAATTCCCACACTTTTTCCTAAATTGGGAACAGTGACGAGTCCAGAACGATTGCAAGGGAGGTGGTGGCTGTCACCTTAAAAGACATCACATCACCTAGCCACCCAAACCTCTCCCATGGATTGACCCTTAGATAGAAAGTGCACATTATTTTGAGTATACTTCGAGATTTAGCGGGTTAGTTCATGTCGTATATTCTTCTCACACAGAGAAATACCGCACACAACGTTTTAAAATGTAATCAAGTATCATGGACATTCGAATTCGCGGGTACTATTTTAAGTGCATCTTTTCTAGGCATGAGTTCGTGCGCGCCCGCTCATCGTGATGATCTCATTCGAATGTTTTGATGGGCAAAATATCATGGACACAAGATTTTCGCTTCTTTAAACTCTTAGAGTCAATGACCCCCATTTTTCTTTGTCTTAACATATAGATAATACCAAAATCTACGAAATTCATCTAAATCTAAAAAATTCTGATTGGGAAGGAATGATTTACACAAAATTTACGAAAAACTCCACCTGTTAACGAATCCTACGCATTTTGACTGCATAGCACGAATTGAAAGTATTTTTTCGAACTGTTCCTTTGATATCTTAGGTTACACTACAGCGCGAATATTTTTCTCGCTGAAAACCATATTTGAAAAGAAAAAAACCCAATTCAATGACCCCATTTATTATTTCACTTTTTTAATAAGAATATGTTGGGGTATGTTTATGCCAAGTTAAAAAACTCTGATTGCAACTTCATTTCTCCTCGAACGTCCTTAATAATATAAAGTAGAATGAAGTACTAGTACAAGTGGTCTATCTGCGTTCTGATTGGATGAGCTATTGATTCATAGTCAACATTACTAATTACTGGACCCAATTAATTCCTTTTGTCTTTTTTATTGTTTCGACTTGACTAAAGTGCAAACAATATAACCGTGAAACTTTAGTAATACTATATAGCAAAATTTCATGCAAATTCCATTGTTTTCTATTGTTTAATTAGCACTATTTTGTACTATTTAGTAATTAGTGTTTCACGGATTAATCGTCTGCAGTAGTACAGAATACTTACACTCAACGTACAGCTCAAAGTTGCCAATATTCTTGGATCCTCTGCATGAATAGTCTCCCCCGTCCTTGACCTCCACGTTTACCACATATAGTGTTAGTTCATTGGGTGTATCTGGTTCACTTTGTACATAGTATTTAGCAGCAAAAATATTGGTTGATGTGATCTGATTTCCTTCCTTGTCAAACCATCCAATCAGCTCTTCGTCCTCGACTCTGCACGTGACCTGAAAGGTCTTACCTCTGGTCGTGACGTCTGTCGCTCTGACTATCACCTTACTATCTGTTGGAACAACACAACAAAATTCCTTACTTTTTGTTAATAGTGCGGGCGTATTTAAAAAACTCAAAACATCCTGATATCGGGTAGATGTCGCTAATACTCTATTGAAAAAAAATATGTCTAGTAGCGATAGCAGAGCCTTGAATCCAAGAAAATTCATTTTCATGAGGAAAAGCGTTAGATTATAGCTATATAGTACAATGACATGCTAATTTAGAGTGGTACTTGATCAATGTCACTGGTATAGACCAGTGAAGATAAGACTGATCTACTGACCCAGCCTGCTGCTCACGAATATCACACTATGCCCACCATTCTTACAGAAATGATTTAGAAGAAATAGTATATAACCGCTCATATGTAAACACAATTGATTGATCAAATACAAACAGTGGTTGATGCATGTGGCGCGAATGGAGGCCATTAGACGGCCAATCACGGATGCATGGAGCAAGATGTTATGCCATGCTTTTGATAATCAAAACCTTACTGTGAAGCCAAGAACTTTAGAATTTAGTGTTCGGGCTTAGTATTATGAATAATTGATGCCATTCCAAAAGATAAATCTAATTAATTTAGATCAGATTTTGAGATCGTTTTTACGACAGAGATTGTGTATAATACCTGCATAATGCAGAACATTGTACAAGAAGAGCATGAAGATTACTTCACTCCAACCCATCAGACCGACCCTCCTCTGCTCAGCTTCGGTTTCAACAAACGTTTATCATTACTAGCAACATTGAGAAGCACGAGATGTTCAGCCACTACCGTAAACTTTCTTTACTCTTCTAGTGAACAGGCCTGATGGGGTTGCATTTGCATGACAATACAGTCACGCCAATGGGGTGTGGAAGATGAAAGACCTTTTGTTTGCTACAAATCTAGTGTTATTATGCAAAACATCTTTCTAGACACATCCTAATTAAGTCTACAAAATAGAACACGTTTTCTGCTCCAAAGTATACATTATTATTCCGGGCCCAAGGGTATTTTTTTAATCCAATATTACTAAATGAAAGGTGTACATGATAATATCGCAGGGGAGGGGTGGGGATAAGTGTTGCTTTTGGCACAGGCAACCCCATTGAAAAAACCTACAAACTTGCATTGTGTAACGACTGCTGTGGACACTGATGAAAAACGCACTGCGCATGCGTTGGGAGAAAATACAAAATGGCGGACAATAACAATTGATCACATCTAAAGGTAGGTTTTATTTTAACCGACAGGGCTATTTTTTAAATATTCGTTTTGGAATTTTACACATATTTTTGGATTTCTTTACATAGGATCCGACCATGTGATTATCTGCAAATCGTCGGGCCGCGAGTGGCGGCATTTTCAAAGATTATTTTTGCTTTGTATAAAAAAAAGTTTTTTTGTATAAATCAGCAGTGTATCACTATCGAAATTATCTTGCTATTGCGAAAAGGACAACCTTAAGTTTTCAGCATTTTTCTTAAGTTTTGCGATTTTGTAAAACAATCAAAACACCGGCATCAAAAACATAAGTTGCCCTTAGTTACGCTATGCCATCTCCGAGCGTGCGCAGTGCGTTTTTCACCAGTGTCACTACTGTGATAATATGTTAGCAAAGTCGCAAAGATTTACAGTTAGTAAATCTAAAAATACTTTTTACACTTGGATCTTTAATTCTTTTCTCTTTTTTTTTGTCTTAAGTTACTAACACCCTCAGAAATGCAATTTTCATTTTTTTAGGGGCATTTGCCTTTCTGCCTCAACTGCCTCGCTTGCCTCATAGTGGCTATATGGCCCTGCAAGGAAACAGCGCTTTCATCAAAATGAAAAGGCTTGAACCTTCAGAAATTTCAAATTATTACTGATGACCTTCCCCTCTGAAGTCACAAAGGGGGGTTGGAGTGCATGCTCCCCCAGAAATGTTTGAAATTCAAACCCACAGAAATGTGATTCCCATCGTTTTGAGGGAGAATTGTGACATTTTATCCAGGATCGTGGCTAGGCCCTGCTGATATCTTGGTGAGTCCTTGCATAAATTGATATGACCCCCCCCCCCCCTTTTCTCTCTGCAGTTTTGACCCACTCCCTATTTGCACCAGCCCCCTCCCCCTCCCTATAAATAATGACCGGTCCCTTATGCAATAAATTCATTTTGTTTGGGAAACGTGAATTTGTAAACAAATTATGAATGGTTTATTCAATGAAATAGCGAAATTTAATTGACTTGGAATATTAATTATGTCGAAATGCACATCAAAGTGTCAAAGTCAAATAAAAGTGTCGCAAAATAAGCAACCTCCGAAATTGTGAAATTACTCTTCCTATAATTTAATGTCATTCTTGATCTCAACTAAAGAAATATAACAGTGCATGTACAACAATTTAAGTACCATGATTTATTAAAGTCTTGGAAGTTTAAGGCCCCGTCCACACGTATCCGGAAATGTTTGTATCCGCAAATCATTTTTCGCGGATACGAAAATGTTCGCGTCAACACGCAGCGTATTCGAATCGTTTTCACCGTCCACAAGTATCCGTTTTCGTAAAATTCGCGGATACGGACACAAAAATTTGCGGACACGTGTGGACGCAACCCGTTTCCGTAAAAAAAATTTGCGAATACAAAAATTTCCGGATACGTGTGGACGGGGCCTAAATCAATCACACTTAAAAAGTAGTGAATACTGAGTTTACCACGTTTAAAGAAAGTCATATCTATATTACATATCCTTATAGCGTACATATACTGCATTTTGCTAAATCCTCAAGTTCCTTCCTCCCCATTAAGCCCCCTGTCAATTACGCCCCCAATCTATTAAGCCCCCTATCTATTAAGTCCCCTATCTATTAAGCCCCCAATCTATTAAGCCCCCAATCTATTAAGCCCCCTATCTATTAAGCCCCTATCTATTAAGCCCCCTATCTATTAAGCCCCTTATCTATTAAGCCCCCTATCTATTAAGCCCCCTGTCAATTAAGCCCCTATCTATTAAGCCCCCTATCTATTAAGCTCAATATCTATTAAGCCCACCGTCTATTAAGCCCCTCTGTCTATTAAGCCCCTCTGTCTATTAAGCCCCCGCCTCTCTAATAAGCCTGGCCTCCAGGGCTCCCCTCGTAAAAGTGCCTAGAAATACATAAGCCCCTGGGGAGCTTAATATTGAATTAACAGTATATCAAAAATAAAGGTGCAAAAAGAACGTTAATGACACTGTCATGGCAACACCCTGTTGCCATGGGTGCACGTATATTACAAAGCATATATCTAAATTGTTTATCATCAACTCAGCCATAATACAATATGTTTCTTGATCTGCTCTCTTGCTTGCTTCAACTGTGGAAGGTCTTCAGGGCTGTCAGGGTACATATTGGCACAGTGTGCAGTACCTAACAAGTGATTACATGAGGGAGTATTGGTTATGGAGTCATTTGATAGTGATAAGCAATCAGAAGATTTCAGTCTGAATGTTTCCATAATTAATAAGCTGCATGACACAAGGTTATTTTTAGGCAAATGTATGGGTTTTCTAGCAGCACCCATGTGCCTGTTCAGACTATTAATATTATTTATGAAATAGTTATGATTTATATACCGCCCTTTTATTTAACAAGTAAAATACATTTACTGTGTATGCACAAGCTAATGCAAACCGAGATGTGGTTGGGAGAATTCGAGAGCAGATCAGTGCAAACACGAGCCATAGGTGAGTGTTTGCACCTGCTCGAGAATTCTCCCAACCACATCAAGGTTTGCATTAGTCTGTGCACAGTAAATGTATTTTATTTGTTTTATAAAATTATTTTCTTCAAAAACAAAAATAACGAAAAAAGATCAAATAAAACAAAAGAATTTAGTTCAAAGTTTTGAATACAAATTCTCCTTACATACTTGTGCATTTGCAATAACCAATCGGATTGTGCGAAAGAAGACCCTTAACCAATCAAATTGCGAGTTTGATACACACCTCCAAGCATGAAATTCAAGTTGAAAATTTCTTATTTCAAAGCGAGAAGAAGCCAAACTTTAGTGCCTTTCTCCCTTGAGAAAGAGGCTTTTACAAGCAAATCTTGATAAAATAATAATTCCAAAGCTTAACCAATGGCTTTAGTCATTCTAGACCGAAAAGAAAACACTATTTTGAGAGCTAGAACTCGCTAAATTCAAGCTTGATTTCCGTCGGTGTTGTTGAAAGAGTTCCTCGAAATTCTCCGAGTTCAGGCTGGCAAATCTGGATTTTTTCTTTTTTGTTGAAGGCTCTTCTGGTGGTTCTACTATTTCAGATACTTCCTCAGGAAAGTCAAAGTCTAAGCTTGGAAAATTAGCCATATTCTACTAATTTTACTGGAGTTATGACTATTTGTGTACAAGTACAAACTTCCAAACAAAACTCAAATTTTCCCATGACACGCGTTACAATTGTGTTTGCACAGGGAAATGCAAACACGGCTCTTGGCCAATCACAGCACGCATACTATCTGAATCATTTTATAAATGTGGATATAATCAAAGGCGCT